CGCCCCCCCCCCCCCCCCCCGGCCAGTGGTAGCTCAGTACCACCCGGGAGTTGACTAGAAATACAGATTACTAGGCTACCTGCCTGCTCCATTGCACAAAATCAGGAACTCTGAGGACTGGTCCTGGAATGTGTGTGTTCTAATAAGTTCCCCCAGGCAGTTCTGATGTATGCTCACGCGTGAGAACTGCTGAACAATGTGAAATCCTGGGTGTGTGTGTGTGGGGGGGCATGTATGTGTGGTATATGTGTGGTGTGTGGTGTATGTGTGGTATGTGTGTGTGGTGTGTGTGGTGTGTGTGTGTAGTGTGTGTGGTATGTGTGGTGTGTGTGTGGTGTGTATGTGGTGTGTGTGTAGTGTGTGTGGTATGTGTGGTGTGTGTGTGGTGTGTGTGTGTGTATGTGGGTGGGTGGGTGTGTGGTGTGCGCACGTGTGCGCGCATGCACGCCTGCCTGCCCGTGGAGGTCAGAAGTTGACATTAGGGGTCTTCAGTTGTTTGCTACCTATTTTTTGAGACAGGGCTTTTCATTGAACCTGGAACTCACAATTTGGTTAAATTGGATGGCTAGCTAGCCCCAGGGAATCCTCTTCTTTCTGCCTCCCGAATCCTGGGATGACAAGAGTGTTCTGCCATGCCTGGCTTTTCTGTGGGTGCTGGTATAACTAGAGGTTTATCTCCTGCCTGTCAGGTCCTGAATAACTACTCTGAGGCTTAATATTAATTATAAACTACTTGGTTTATTAGCTCGGGCTTATTATTAACTAGCTCTTACAAATTAAGTTAACCCATGTCTATTAGTTTATATTTTAACATGAGATTCGTGGCTTGTTACCTCACATCTTGCTTTCCCAGTAGCTGCTGGTGGCAGCCCGAGTCTGCCTTCTTTTTCCATTTATCTTTTTTTTTTTTTTTTTTTGATTTCCTGCCTGGCTCTATTCTGCCTGGCTATTGGCCAAGTCAGTGTCTTTATTAACCAATGGTGATAAAACATATTCACAGCATACAGCAAGACACCCACATCATGCCAGATTCAAACGCGGCTCCACATCTTGTACAGCAAGCTCTTTCCTGATGGGGCCATCTCCTTATCTCCATTTTTCTATGTTTAACTTTAGTTCCCACTGTAGGGACACAGGGAGATCTGTTGACCAGTGATAAAGGAGATATGGGGCACAGGGGATAGGGAGTGAGGAGGCGTTTTTTGAGAACTGCATGAATGAGTGCTGCGTGTCTGTCTCCCCATCCCTCTCACCCCCTAACTCCTCTTGTGTTGTGGCCCCCACTGTCCCTCCAAAATCCATGCTCTCTTCTTTACTTATTATTGTTGCATGTATATACAATATGTACACACACGTACAACCTACTGAGTCCACTTAGTATTGCTCACGGACATGCATCCAGGGCTGACACGTATGTTTGTGTTTTGGAAATGGATTGGACAATCCAATAGTAGCGAGTCCCTGATGGAAATAGCTTCTTTCTGATCAGAAGTATTGGCCACTGAAGCAATTACTTACATTGTTCTATTATTAAATAAGATCCAGGAGTCAGATATTGGGGTAAATACCTCATAGATCCAAAGAGCAATGGAGGAATGACCAGCTGATCCTGACTCTGCACGCTTTCCCAAATTCAAAAGGATTACGCATCTTTTTAAAGCCCTCCCAGCTACTTCCTATATCCCCATATCTCTCTTCTCCAAAATCTCCATGGCTAATTCTGGTCAGCCAATTGGCTCTATTCTCTGATTCAAGATAAACTTTATTGGCAGTCTCAGAGTGTCAGTGTGAACAAATACCCCACAACAGGTTACTGTGGTAGTTTGAATGTAATTGGTCCCCTATTCTCATGGGGAGTGGTACTATTAAGAGGTATGGCTTTGTTGGAGGAAGTGTGTCACTGCAGGGGTGGGCTTTGAGGTTTCCTATGTACAGGATACTGCCCAGTATCTCAGTAAACTTCCTGTTGCCTGTAAGATGGAGGACTCTCAGCTCCTCCAGCCTGCATGCTGCCATGCTCCCTGCCTTGATGATAATGGACTGAACCTCTGAAGCTGTAAGCTGCTTCCTCAGTGAAATGTCTTCCTTCATGGTATCCCTTGAAAGCCATAGAAACCGTAATTAAGACAGGCACCGATTGGTAACTAGATGTGTTTTCATGACTTCCTGTCGCCTTCTGACCAAGAAAGCATGCTCAAAAACAAAAGACAGGGAAAACAAATCTCCACCTCCCTCTATGTTCAACCCAATCAGCTGGCCCAATGTGTTGCTGCTTAAGAGGGCTGGGATCTGTTGGGTGGGAATGTGATTGGCACTGTGAGTCATAACAGTGATTTTCTTTATATTTTTCCTTTCCTTTTAGCTTCATGGAACAGACACAGAGAGTCCTGAGCTGGCTCCCTCCCGTCCCTGCTTCCCAGCCCAGGAAGAGAAGGACATTGGTGCGATCTTTCTTTTCCAAGGTCAGACACCAGTGTCCTTCCCACCACGATGTCGCCACGGTGTAAGATGTGCACCTGCTTGCTCTGTGCTAGAACTGCTATGCCTGGGCTCCTTCTGGGGGCCGTGCAATGACTTCCTTCAACAGGGATAGAGGGTGCTTATGAGAAGTTGAAATGAGAAGGATTCAGCTTGCTGCTAACTCAAAAGTTTAAAAGAAAAAAAGGAGGCTGTAATAAATACTCAGAAATAGCGATGCTGGAAAGTTACAAGGTCTTCTACACAGTGCTGAGCAAGCAGCCTGATCTGGACCTGGACCTGCATCCATTCCTGCTTCCTTCCAGAGGATGGGGCTAGCTTTGTCTTTGGCATTCTCTCTTCTCTCTCCTCTCCCCCTCTCCCCTCTCCCCTCTCCCCTCTCCCCTCTCCGCTCGCTCTCTCTCTCTCTCTCTCTCTCTCTCTCTCTCTCTCTCTCTCTCTCTCCATCCCGGTATAAATGCAGGGACTTTCATGTCATGGTGCACATGTGGAGGTCAGAGGGTAATCTTGGATGTCTGTCCCCACCTTCCACCTCTTTTGAGACCAGGCTTACCACACAGCAGTCATCTCACACACCTTGGGATTCTCCTTCTCCCATCTTGCCATAGGAAATTTGGATTATAGACAGGCGCCATTGTGCCTGGCTCTACCTGGGGCTCAATCTCAGGTCTTTATGGTGGCATGGGAAGTGTCTTACTCATCATCTCCCTGGTCCCTAATTGGGAGCTTTCATTGTCTGGGGCCTGATTCTAATGTGGGCTGCCTAGTTCTGTGCCCTGAGGAACACTAGTGCCTTCTTGTCATTGGTGCTCATCTGTTCTCTAGGGGGCAGCTCATCTGATCATGAGAAAGGTAGCCTATATCTTGGTCTATCTTCTATTTTATCTATATCTTATCTCTTGTCTTACAGTTACTTCGTGTTTAGTTTTAGAAGTATAGAATTTTGTGTAGAAGCACAGTGCTTCCCCATTGTGGTGTTTTTGCTTTTTCTGCTTCATCTAGGGAATTCAGATGTTGGGATAACCTCCAAATGTCCTGAGATGCTTACATATGTGTAATTGATATTTGTTGAGATGTTGCCAATTGAGTCACCTGCTAGTGAGGGGTTGGGGACAGTGACTATTGAGAAAGGTCTCTCAGGATTTATCATATTGCTGGATGGAGAGGCAGGGATATCAGCCCGACTGCAGAAGAATCAAGACAGAATTGGAAGAGAAGAATTGGAGAAAGCAGGTATCATACAAACATGTCGTTCATTTTGTTTAGTTAAAAGGACAGCAGAAGGATGAGAGGGACTTGGAGGAGGAAGAGGGTCAGAGAACTTTTCAGAGAGGAGAAATAACATAGCAAGGGACCTGTGTCTCAATGACAGTCTCCTTTCCTCTTAGCCTCGGTCACACAGTTTACTACTGTATGTCTCCCCAGTCACACACACACACACACACACACACACACACAGAGAGAGAGGGGGGGGCACACGTGTTTACTTATCTTTAGTTTAGAAGAAAAGAAACTTGAATAGGCAAAATAGCATTTTCTTTAGAGAGAGATGTTTGGAGCTGAGTTCAGAGTATGAGTCTGAGCCCTTTTGGATTGATTCATATTCTCTCTCTCTCTCTCTCTCTCTCTCTCTCTCTCTCTCTCTGTGTGTGTGTGTGTGTGTGTGTGTGTGTGTAGCATGCTAGATGTCTCAACTTCAGGTGTCTTCTTCATTGCGCTCCACTCACACTAGACTGGAGCTCACCGGTTTGGCTAGGCTGCCTGGCCAGAGAACTTCCGAGTTCTTTGTCTGTTTTTCCCAGTGCTGAGATTCTAGGCATGCACTGCTACACCCAGCGTCTTATGAGGGTGCTCTGATCCTCATGTGTGTCGAGCAAGCACTTTACCGACTGGACCATCTTCCCAGCCTCTGAATTAACACACTTTTGACCCACCACCCAGGTCTCTTGGAAACTGAGGTTGCGGAAGCAGGAACCTTTGAAGAATGTGTTTTTCATCTTGGCAGAAAGAGCCCGGGATCCTAATGCTAAAAAGCGCCATCTGGCAATGAGAGGCCTGGGCATGTTGGCCAGTGAAGCCCCTGACAAGGTAGGGGAGGTGGAGTTGAGACAGCCTTCCTAAGACTCTGAGCCCTCAAGGCATGGAGTCCCCACAGCTGGGGCAGGTACCCATAGATTGGTAACACTGTAACAACTCACACAGACCTAGCAGTAAACAGTGCTACCTGTTTTGGGGGCCTGAGTATGAGCTGGATCCATAGCTCAGGATCTTGCAAACCACTGTTGGCTAGACTGTGGCTTCAAGAAGCTCAGGGTGCTTTTCCAAGAATGGCTTTTTGCAGAACTGGTTCTTCCAATGGTAGAACTGAGGTTTCTCTTCCCTTGCTGGCTGTCTGCTGGGGGCCACCCCCCTTTACCCAGGATCCACACTCCCAAAACATGCTAACCTCTCTCTTCAAGGCGTCTCTTGCTCCTGTCTACTCTATGGGAGTCTTGCATAATGTAGCTTAGCAACCAGGAGAGACATCTGGTTACTTTTGTCACTTCAGGCTAGAGGCAAGCCACTAGTTCTTTTTACACAGGAGGACAGATTACGTAAGGGTGTGACTCACTCAAGGTTGTCTCAAGCTGGCACACCTCAGTTCTGTCAGCCTTGGGAAATGAGCTACGGGACTGACTGGCACAGGTTCATGCTGTTCTCCTTGAGAGTCTGAATGATTGTCTCAGATTGTTTAGTAAGAACCACTCTCATACCCTGTCCATAGCACCTGTCCACAGGGATACCATTTTATGTCCTCTCCATTACAAAGACACCAGCTCTCTGAAGGGCCCTAGAATACTCTTGTCCACCCTCTCTGCTCTTGAAGTACTACACTAGCTCCATGACCCAGAGACCTTATTCCTGTTTGTCCTCTCTGTTCTTCGAAGAGCTAGGAGGGCTCTTGGGCTGGATTACTAGAAACATTTGTATTTGGACAAGAGTTAGTAGCAGATTCATAAGAAAGTGTGAGCGTGTAGCATATGTACATACACACATGTGGACGGCATGAACACAGAGAGAACTGCTTGTGAGGAAGGAGGGGAGCAGCAAGAAGAGTGGTGGAAGGGAGTGTTACAAGGAGCGGGGCCACATGTTTATCCCTGCTGCCCAGCTAGCTTAGCCCCCGAAATAACCACACAGAAACTGTATTAATTTAAACACTGCCTAGCCCATTAGCTCTAACTTCTTATTGGCTAATTCTTACATCTTAATTTAACCCATCTCCATTAATCTGTGTATCACCACGTGACTGTGGCTTACTGGCAAGATTCTAACCAGTGTCCGTCTCAGGCAGAAAATCCATGGTGTCTCTCACTCTGCCCTTCTTCCCAGCATCCAGTTCTGTCTTCTCTGCCTTCCTAAGTTCTGCCCTATCAGGCCCAAAGCAGTTTCTTTATTCATTAACCAATGACAACAACACATAAACAGACGAACCTCCTACACCAAGGGAGGACGGGGAGGGTAGTGGGGGATGAACATGAGCAAACATGACTGAACAATGATATATATGTTAAAAAGTCATAATGAAACCCTGTATTCCTTTTTACCTTAACAAAAAATATTAATTTAAAGAAGAAGGGAAAGATAGCCAGGGCCTCTCAGTCCCAACTTGGGGCTACTGGAAGATTAGGGATAGAGATGCTCTTTAATTTAAATAGTGTGTGTGTGTGTGTGTGTGTGTGTGTGTGTGTGTGTGAGAGAGAGAGAGAGAGAGAGAGAGAGAGGTGTGTATAAGTGTGTGTGAGTGTATGAGAGTATGTGTGTATGAGTGTGAGTGTGTGTGAGAGAGTATGAGTGTGTGATACTAATGCTTTTTCAACCTCTGTAGCAGGTGAGAAAGTACAAGAAAGTTTTCCTTGCCCTCCTGGTGCACGGGCTGTATGACCCCGTGAGTTCTGACGTTATCCACGAGAGCATGAAGACTCTGACCATCATGCTGAGCAAGATCCAGGGCCAACGCCTGGGCTCCTTCTTCGTAGATATCACTCTTCAGACCAAGGCTCTATTGGATGATGTAAGTGAGAAGGGTAAGCATAAAATCCTGGGCTATGAAACTGTCCTGGGTTAGAAATGAGGATCCTAAGCCGTGTGGTGGTATTGCCTTTAACCCCAGCAGAGGCAGAGGCAAGCCGAGCAGAGGCCGATCTCTGTGAGTTTGAGCTTTGCCTGGTCTACATAGTGAGTTTCAGGACAGCCAGGACTACATAAACAACAACAACAACAAACAAACAAAAAAACCCTGTCTCAAAAAACAAAAACAAAAGGAAATGAGAACCTCAGGTAGTAGGTTTCTTAAGAACAATGTCTGCATCACTCACAATTTATGAATCAATTTTATTGAGAGGAGTTATGGGTGGGGTTATGGAGAACATAAGACGTGCGGAACCCAGTCACTCCCTTTTGAGGAACTTTCATGTCAAGAGGGAAGTGAACATGTGCAGTAGTGATGACAACAGTGTGATGGCGATGCCAGCCGGTGCTCAGTACTCCCTTCTACGGCAATGATGATGGTGATGCCAGCCGGTGCTCAGTACTCCCTTCTCTGCAACAAGTTAGCATTTAGTGCGCCCTTCCTGTGTGTCATTCACAGTGCCAGGCGGTTGCCATGGATACTTATGCAGTCCTTACAACAATCCTCTTAAGTGGGTGCGACAGTGATCTTTATTATAAAATGAGAAAAGTGAGGCACAGAAAGATCAGGACCTGCACACAGTTCACTGAGGCAGCACACACCCTGAATGCAACTGACTGACTGCAGCCGCCGCCCTGTTAGCCCCCAGATAAGATGCACCAACCAGGAAGGGCTCAGGTGCAACCTGTGGTCTCAAGTGAAGACTCTTGCATGACCAACTTGCAGGCTGACAAACAGCCTGCTGCTGTCTCTCTATCAAAGACAGCACCTGTCAGACATCCCTCAGACCTTTACTTAGCACAACCCAAAGCAACTTACACCTGTCCCTGTCGCCTAAGTCCCAAGCTAAACAAGAGAAAAGGAGAGTCATGGAGCTCACAGAGCTCAGAACCTATATCGGAGTTACTGGCACACTTGTCAATGTTCATCTTTCCTCCAAAAGAAGAGATGTTAGGATATTAGTGGAGATGGCCCACGCTGGCCCAGAACCCAATATATAGCACAGGCATTTGTCCCCTGATGTCAGAAGGCACAGGGTCTTGAGTATGATGCCCCCCTTTCTGTGTAACTCAGAGCGATGGTCGTGGTCTGTTCTGATAGAGGCCTGTTGACGGTGATCGGCTTTTTGTTGTTGTTGATGGAAACCACAGGAGAACGACGGTGTGCGGTACTCGGCCTTTGTTCTGTTTGGGCAATTGGCTGCATTTGCTGGGCGGAAATGGAAGAAATTTTTCACTGACCAGGTTAACCAGACACAAGATTCCCTCCTGATCCATTTACAGGACAAAAGCCCTCAGGTGGCCAAGGTGAGACAACCATTTTTTGCTCATTTTGTGAAATCTTTGCTGTCCATGGAGGGGGTGGTGGCAGCTCTGCTAAGTGGAGAAGCCAGACCCTGGAGTTCCTGCCAGGTAGAATGACCTGTACGGTATCTGTGTAAAGCAAAGGGGCCCCCAGGGTATAATCTTTCCTACTTCCGCTTTGACCTGTCTCTGCCCAATCCAACACCTGCTGGTGCTAGCAAGATAGGGAAGGCCAAGCCCCCAAGGATGGTGTGCAGAGAGTTCTACAAATTCATCTTGGGGGAGGGGAGGAAGAGAGTGTGGATGAGTGTAATTGTGAGCGAGGCTGTGCACATGGCAGAGCGGTATCCTCTCTGTGAGCCACAGAACGAGCCATGGCCATTCTACGAACAGAAATCCTTCAAGTTTCAAGCTCACAAATGACCTGAAAATTACATTCCCAGTCTTGGTGGCTCTGACCTGAGATTGGCTACAGTCCTTTGGGATCACCTTCCCTGCCCGGAACGCTAGAATTCTCTAATAGTTTAGGCAATTGGATGGCAATGTTATTTCCCTCAGGCTTGCAAAACGACTGTGCGAGCCTGTGTTCCGTATCTGAAACCCAGGAAAGAGCAGCGTTTCCAGAGTGAAGAAGATCAGCGGAACCCCAGACTTTCCCGGCAGCTGGTGAGTGGGTCAGGGAGGAGAGAGTTCTCTTGGGAGTCCCTCCCCTTCAAGCACCGGAAGTGGCCAGTGCAACAGGAAGTTGCCTCCCCTACCTCCTAAAACAGCTCAGGCGGGTATGGCAGTTGCAAAGGATCCATAACGCGATGTAAAGGGTAGGATTCCTGGAAGATGACAGTGTTACCATTCACTCAGTTCTAGTCCTTGGCTGCTTCCACTCCTGCGGCTTCTCCTGGTGTCCTGCCCACAACCTCCCTCACATGTACCTTTTCTAATTTCTTTCAGAGCCATTATCATCCTGAGGTCCTGCTATTCTTCTATGCCAATAAAATCCTCTAAATCCAGAGCGGCAGAGAAAATGGCCCCGTGTGAGTGCCCTGCTCCGGGCATCCCGTTCCCTCTGCTCTGTCTCATTGGGTACCTCTTTGACTCTGCTCATATGATAGTAACAAGAGAGGACGTCAGAGAGCTACTGAGGGCAAAAACAATCTCCTGGAAGTGTATCTCTGCACTCAAAGTAAAATTCTCCATTACTTTCACAGATCTCATTTCTTCCCTATACAAACAAATTTGTTTAGAGGTATATGCTTCCTTTTCTAAATTGCGTGTGTGTGTGTGTGTGTGCACATAAATGTGCGTCATTGTGGTGGTGAGGACAACCTCAAATACTATTCCTCAGGTATAGACCACCTTTCCACTGAAACAGGGTCCTCAAACAGCCTGGGACTTGCAGATTAGGCTAGCCTTGATGGCTGGTGAGCCCCCATTATAACTACACTCTGGTGAACCCAGCTTTTTTTTTAATTCTCTCATATATTATGTCGCTCATATATTATATCTCAACCATAGTTTCCCCTTCATCCATTCTTCTCAGTCCCTTCCTCCACCTCCTCTCTGTTTTGAGAGAGAGAGAGAGAGAGAGAGAGAGAGAGAGAGAGAGAGAGAGAGAATGAATATGAATGCAGGCCTCCCAGGGATTTCAACCAAACATAGCTTAACAAGTTACAATAAGCCCAGACACAAACTCTCATATCAAGACTGGATGAGGCAACGCAGTTGTAGGAAAAGGGTCCCAAAAGCCATAGGGGTTGAGAACACAGCCCACAGAATCAACTAAGCAGGGCTCATAGGGCCTCACAGACACTGAAGCTGCAAACACGGACCCTATGGGTCTGATAGGTCCTCTGCATATATGGTATGGTCGTGTAGCTTGGTGTTCTTGTGGGACTCTGAACAGTGGGAATGGGGGGTGGGGTGGGGGCATCTCTGACTCTTTTCCCAACTCTTATTTTATTTTTATTTATTTATTTTTTAAATAAGGGTTCTGGGGTCAAATTTAGGCCCTTGTAACAACTGGGCCATCTCCCTGGCCCAAGAGACGCACCCTTCCTTAAAGACATTTAATATGCCAGGTGTTCCAAAGCACCTTTCTCGGCTCCTCTCTGTCAGGTGTAACATGCATTGCTAATATGTGACTTCTGAGATTTTGGAGAGTAACTGCTATTATAAACATTTTAAAAATTGTTTTTGATGGTTTGTTCTTTGCTGTTGACATCTTTTCTTGTCCAGATACAGAAAGGTAGTTTGCAAAGTTTCTTCACTTTCTCATGATCTTAAAATGCCATCATCTTCAAGATTATCCTTAAAAAAAAAAAACCCAACAATAAAAAGAAATATTGTCAAAATGACAATCCACAGGATGATGATAACTTACAGAATAAAAACAGTAACACTTATTGAGAGTGCTTACAACATATTGGGTACTGTGGCGTTTGAATGAGAATGGCCCCGTTAGGCTCATAGATTTGAAGGCTTGGTTCCCAGTTAGTGGAACTGTTTGGGAAGGAAGGACTGGAGGACATGCCTTTATTGGAGGAGGTGTACCACTGAAGGTGAACTTTGGATTTCAAAAGCCCACGCCAGGTCCAGTGTCTCTTTTTCTGCCTGTTGCCTGTGGGTGAAGATGCGACGTCCCCTACTGCTGCTCTAGCACTATGCCTGCCTACTTCCTGCCAGGATGATCATGGACTAACGCTCTGAAACTGTAAGCAAGCCCCCAACTAAATGCTTCTTTTCATAACAGCTGCCTTGGTTATGGTGTCTCTTCAGAGCAACAGAATAGTCTCTTAAGATAGGCGCTAAGAACTTTTTGAAAGTATTATACAACAACTGTATACAGCAGGTGCTAATATTTATTTATTGGGAGTGGGCACATGTCACGGTGTCTATGAGGAAATCGGAGGACAGCTTGAGGAGTCAATGCTCTCTTTCCACCATGGGGGTTCCAGGAGTCAAACTTAGGTGGTCAAACTTGGCAGCAAGCACCTTTGTGTGCAGAACCATCTCACTGGCCCCGAGAGAGGTGATATTACAGTTTTCATTACCTAGATGAGAAAACAGAGGAAATAAGTAACTTGCACAAGATAAATAGTAGGACTAGACCTTAGAGCCATGTGATCAGATTTCTGGAATAAGAACTCAATTCTCTTTCGCATCATTGGCGGGTGGCTAGAAATCCAATGGTCACTTCCACCCACTTCTGCTCAGGCCAGGGTCATTTCTGAAGTTTGCCTGCTGCCGAAATCCCAGTTTTCAGCAGGTCAGAGAGACTGGAGAGAGGGTGTGGACCAGGCAAGCTATGGGAACAGACACCCAGCCACACGAGAACTTTATCAGAGGGCTGAAGTTTAATTCTTCGTTTTAGTTTTCTCTCTGGGGTTGTTCATTTTACTCTGTTTTTTTCTCTGTTCTGTTTTTTTTAAATCTTGTTTTAATTTTATTTTTTTCTTCCCAGTTATTCTCCTTGTATATCTTTTTCGATATTATCCTTTTAACTCTTTTCCGATATCTTTTTTTCTATTTCTCTCCTGCTGGTTCCCTTCTACTTTTCCCAGATGTTTTTTTCTACATCTTTTCTTCTCATTCTATCTCTTATGTTTTCCTTATCCTATTTATACCTCCTAAGACAAAGATTTCTATGCAAGAAAATATGACCTCGCAGCCACAAGTTACATAATCTCCAGAGACAAAGTGATTTCTTTACACAGGAAGAAGCGGTATTAAGATTGCAAGCCCCAAGTTTTTCTTAGAAGTTCACAAGCAGTCAAACATTTTTCTTTATCCCAAATCCATGATTATTTTATAATTGACTAACAACGTTTTAAGCAAGCTAAGTATATTTCAGTCAGTTTTCTTTCTTTTTCTTTTCTTTTTTTTTGGGGGGGGAGGTACTGGCAGGCAACAGTGACGGTTTCAGTGTAATCAATTTCTACTCTTAATTTTACTCTAGAGAAACTATAGACAAGTGGTCAGTTTACCATATATTTTCCTTTACACACAATAGGGCCATTTAATTTCCTTTTACAACTTTGCCTTTTCAAGGTGAAAACTGGGGTCTGTGATGAATTCTGTAAGTTATATGACCAAGGAACGAGGCCCAACCTTGGTGTAGGGACATAACTGTTCTCTTCTGTCATCAGTCTGTTGTCCCACAGGCAGAATTCCTGTGGGGCTATCATTTGTGAAATTCCCTGTTCTTATTTTTTAATCCTCTTCAATTCTTATATCTAACAAATAATTATTTGCCTTTTTTTGTATCTCTTATTGGATCAGTTGTTAGAACAACAAAAATCATGTCCTTAATCATCTTTACTAACTCTCCTAACCACCTGTGTCTTTTGGACTAACTCAGAAAGTCCAATAAAATCATAGCAATAATTAATCATCATTGCTCTTAAATAAAAAGATCATCTTCACTATAACCTGCAAGTAAATTACCCAGTGAGGCATGGGATTTTCCAAAAAACAATCACACTCTACTAGATACAGTAAGATCCTTCCAAGTAGCAATCACACCATCTGCCAAACAGAGCAGGAACACGACAGCAGCAAACAGGAGGAAGCTCAGCAGAAGCAAGAGGCATTCTGGGACACCCAGGGCTTCACCTCTCCACGACGCACCCAGAGTAGCTGTGCTAATCTCTGAGCTGTAAGCTCCATTGCTGACGTGGCCACCAGCACTCGTCTATCATTCCAAATCTATACTTACTTATTTGAACTAAATAATAGAATAATAAATAATAATTAGTAAAAGTATATGCTTTTATTAATCATTACTGATTAATGTGCTGATTTTTTAAAAATTTTTATTTATTTATTTATTTATTTATTTATTAAAGATTTCTGTCTCTTCCCCACCGCCGCCTCCCCTTTCCCTCCCCCTCCACCAATCAAGTCCCCCTCCCTCGTCAGCCCAAAGAGCAGTCAGGGTTCCCTGCCCTGTGGGAAGTCCAAGGACCACCCACCTCCATCCAGGTCTAGTAAGGTGAGCATCCACGAAACTGCCTAGGCTCCCACGAAACCAATATGTACAGTAGGATCAAAAACCCATTGCCATTGTTCTTGAGGTCTCAGTAGTCCTCATTGTCCACTATGTTCAGCGAGACCGGTTTTAACCCGGGCTTTTTCAGACCCAGGCCAGTTGGCCTTGGTGAGTTCCCGATAGAATATCCCCCTTGTCTCAGTGTATGGGTGCACCCCTCGCAGTCCTGAGTTCCTTGCTTGTGCTCTCTCTCCTTCTGCTTCTGATTTGGACCTTGAGATTTCAGTCCGGTGCTCCAATGTGGGTCTCTGTCTCTGTCTCCTTTCATCGCCTGATGAAGGTTAATATGTGCTGATGTTTTGGTGACCTATCCTTACTATCTGAAGAGTGAACTAATCACTCTTATAAGAATTATGTCCAGGTGCAGTGATGTGCATACTTCTAGTCCCAGCTATTTGGGAGAATGAAGTGGAAAATTCACTTAATGGCATGAGTTCAAAACTAGCCTGGGCAGCATACTGTCTCCATCTCAAAACAAGTATCTTTCAAGAATGCATTGCTTCGTGGCTTCTTCCTACCAATCAGGGTCACTCCTAGAACATTGTGTTCAGTTCGAGAACTGGAAAGATCAACAAAAATAGAGAACACAAGAGGTTATCAAAACACTGAGGGGTCTGAAGAGTCATTCTCAGAACTGGGAGATCAGTTTCTATGCTGTTCCCAGACATGTAGAGGTGAGAGTGTTTAGGAGTGTCCTGGGAGAGAAAGAATGCAGGCAGAGATGGCAGAGTCATAGCAGGTGCCAAGTAGTATAGACAGATGCTGCTCACTCGTATCCCAGCTGCCCTGACCAGAAATAATCACACAGAAACTGTATTAATTACAATACTGTCTGACCAATAGCTTAAACATATTTCTAGCTAGTTCTTACATCTTAAATTAACTCCTTCCTATTATTTTATATTTACTTCAAAGCTCGTGGTTAACTGGTAAGGTTCTCAGGTATCTGTCTTCTTCAGCGGCTACATGGTGTCTCCCTGACTCCAACTACTCTTTCTGTATATCTCTGTTTAAATTTTCTGCCTGGTTTTACTCAGTTAAGCCATTGGCTGAAAGCAGCTTTTTATTAACCAATGGTAATAAAACATATTAACAGCATATAGAGGGGAATTCCACATCACCTCCCCTTTTCTGTCTAATTACAAAGGAAGGTTTTAA